AAATAAATAACTTATAAGATAAATAACGCTTGCATTTTGGCAATTTGCCAAGTATTTTGACAGCTTCTGGCTTTCTAACACAATCGTCAAAGATATCTGGAGCCAGTTTGAGAACGATGGACCACGAACCACCAACATGGAGGTAGGGAGTCATAACGGACTGCACAGCCGGCTGACGAGTCATCATCGAGACTTGGCTGAATTCATACAGTTCCTCCAAGTTATTTAGCAGGCTCGCAAAACAGGATCCAGGCACTGGTCTTGGATCCCCTCGTGGGCGTCTGCACCGGCGGTTCAAGTGACCAGATGTAACAAGCGGCTGCAGGAGGAGATGGCTATGTTTTCGTGCTACTTGGCGACTGCAGTTCCGACATTTCAAGACGTGCTCAACTGCTTTGACATGATTTCAATGATTGGAGTGCTTCCAAAAAACGAACTGACTATACTCTTTTTCACCTCAAGAAAAAAAAGATGTTTTGCGCATTGTTCATACCCCGGGCGAAGTACTTCTTATAAGATATGGTTGTCGGAGGAAGAAGTGATGCTTTTGGCATTTGAAAAGTATGCGTCTTGATTAGATAACACATATCTGATCTAAAATGCACCTATATGTTATATCTTAAATCTCTACATAAAGAGGAAAATTAGTAATGCTCCCCGAGAAGCCGGACTCTTTTTACTACGGTTCTTGAGGTGATAACGGGTATAACACGTGAGCCGGCTTGCCTGAAAATCAGTAATTTTTATTGATGTGTTCTTCTGCACACAACAAACTGTTTTGAATGCCTCGGACAGAGCGATCCCCAGCTAGTCATCGCGGGACGCCCCATTGACCCCATCGATACTGGCGTTTTACCCAGCGACCTTTCGTAAAATACTTAGCATTGCATCTCGGAGTGAAAGTCGAACACAAACTATACTCCGCTAACACCTTGACGTATACAGCACGGTGGAAGCGCTGTGGAAGCCATCTTTTCGGAAGTGCAACCAATGGCATGCTTCTTCTAGCTTGGCATGACTCTCCGAGCGTTAGCATATACACTGTTAAAAATGAGTCGTGAAATTTACGAGGAAAGTTCTGGCAGCTCTATTTCCAAACATTTCCCGTGAAAATAACGTACAATCATTTTTTTTTAATTATGTGGGAAAAGTTGTCAAAAAAACGAGGCACCGCATTCTTAGTTTACGAGCATAGACGTGAAAATGACGATTGAATCGTTTTCAAATCCTCCCTCGTGAAAATAACGTACTGTCGTTTTTCTAAATTGACTAGGAAAGTCGTCATTTTTATTTGCGGCTTTGTACGTGAAAATTACGAGGAAATCTCTGGCAGCTCTATTTCCAAACATTCCTCGTGAAAATGACGTACCAGCTTGTTCTGAAACTGTGTGAGAAAAACATAAAGAAAAGGTGGATTGCATTTTTCAGCTGTAAGTATGTATGTGTAGCATACAGTCATTATGATCAGTGTTCTTCGCGTAATTATAAAGACAAAAATTGAAAGATTACTTATCACTTTATTCAAGTTTCCGAGCTTCCTCACTGTACACTCTCCTTGGTGATGATGGTGTGCCATTACATCCTGCGGGAAAAGAGAAGAGAAAATTACCCTATGCCACCCTATGATATAACGTCACACAACTCGCTCAAAGGACTATGAGAGGAAAGCAAGAAAGATAGTAACAGCTTCATTCGGACAAAAGGGTGAGGAAAATTGGACATTAGCATTTCTGAAAGTCTGATATGTCAGACATTGCTGGTGTGCCTTCTTTGCATGCCCAGGGCTATGCTACAGGTAATAGTCTTCACTGCAGGGCACAACATTTATTACATCAAACCTTAGGCACCATAAAGAAAATGTGTGACAAACAATAGCCTTTTCCAGATTCAAGGTTGCAGCTGCTACACTTGAAGCCCATATGGATTGATGAAGGCCACAGCGAAAACATCCGCAAGTGGCCATTTTTCAGGGCTGTGCTAATATTAAAATTTTCTTATAGCAGTTTAGTATTATACGGTATTTGATATTGGTTTCAACATTAATCGTACTACTGTAAACGGCTTAATTTTTGCAAAGGCTTACTGTTTGCGAGTTTATCGAAATTGCTTCAAATTGGTCATGCAAATAAGTAACCCCATGGCTACGAATACATTGAACATTACTCCTCATTGTGAAATTTTGTTCCCACAAAGTATTTCCAAAACTGACACTTCACAAAATGTATGAAATATCAAGCTCGCGAAAAGAAAGTCGTTTACGCCAGTCGAACATTTCAAAGCGCTCGTAAAGTCACCATTGCAATGAATTGGCTTTGTTCAGTGCGCTTCTCCGCATGTGCACTGCGCTGCGGAGAAGCGAAACCCATGGAGCAGACTCCGCAATCGCATTAATCGCGTTAACACCCAACACCACCTATAGAATAATAAAAGCCTGGGCATCGCCTCCTCTCCCTTCATGAAACGTCATCACAGTCGGATGGCGCTAACTCGGCTACTGGGCCAGAGTCCGGCCTTCGACGCGCTGATGGAACGCGAGCCCCGGCCGAACACTGACGCAGCACTCGTGCCCAATCTCAGGCCTCAATCGATCTGGCTGTGATGACGGTGCGGAGGCCTTCTGCTTATCTAGGTGGTGGTGTAACACCCCGGTCGCAAGAATCTCGCTTTGTCGCAGCGCAGACTCATACTTTGGTGGGAAATGCACACCTCTATAGCGGAGAGGTTTTGACATGTACACAGGAGGAATTAAGAAAAAAATTTAAAAATGGTTACGTGAATGTTTATGCATCTGATGGATGTCGGTACTCCCCTCAAGGTCAAATTTAGAAGACAAATAACACTGTAGCTATCCTGTTATCAAGAATATGTATTAGGCTGCAATGTCCTAACATGCTATGTCACGACATTGCAGCAACAGTTCTAATTTGAAATTGAAGGATGAGCATGGCGAGAAAGCCATCAAATCGTATATTTATACTCACAACCTCTATGTGGGCCTTGACCTGATGATAGCCAGAGCCACTACGTAATGTGGATCAGAACTAACAGAGCTTTGGCAGTGGGGCGATGATAACGAAATGATTAGAATTTCATTTAAAAAGTATATGTATTGCCCTCATGCTGATTATGTACACTTATAAATCTATATGCCCATGCAGCATGCTGCTGACAAGCATAAATAAATGACAAGCTTTGCTTGCTGCCTCGATTACAACTGTGCAGCTTAAGCAGATACTTGAGAATTTTAAGAGAGCATTCAGTTTGGTAATCAAAAGTATTCACTTCTAACTTTATTTCAGTGGATGACTACCTGCCCCTGATATTAGGTATTTTTTTGTACCACACCTAAAGTTACTATTCGTGCACGATCATGCTCCTTCACTGACATATGCATTTTGAAAACATATGTACTAAAGTAATCAAAGCAGCCTACAGTTAAACAAGTGATACCAACACTGTCAGGATGGCTGAGGCTAGCGTGACGGCACTAAGTAACAGGCTTGGAGAGAGGTGCAGACACTGTGATATTCAACTGAAAAGTTAATAAGCTCAAGTCATTATACACTTTAAGCCCAAAATTCATGATTCACACATGCCTATTATTCTCAGTATGAAGCCAAAGGCGAACCAAGTAGTAGTCCGTTGATTTATTACCGAAATAGAATACAATTTGAATACCAAACTGGATGCTTTGCTTATTTTTGGAAGGTTGCGATAAAAAATGCACTACTTAATTGGGTAAAAAACAAAGCCTTGTAACACAATCATGTGCAAGATTACATTCTACAAGTCGTTTTACATGTATACACATCATTCTATATCAAAGCTAACAGAATTTTCAAAAAAGGCCGCGAAAGCTATCAGAATGTCTTCTTCATTGCGCATTCGTAGGACTCTGTGGACATCAGTAAAGGGGATAACCGTCACAGTATGTTGACTAATTGACGAAAATTTGTTAGCTTTGTAACTAATGGCTTTATCGGCCATGCTGCAACAGCAGTGTTAAAAGCCAGCCAATATTAAAGGCTATCCCGACTTAAACAATTCACGAAATGCCAAGCGGCTTCCACATATTCCTTGTCCAACTTTTGTGTTTTAATGTCGGATGCAAAAACCGCACTCAGGAGCTCAAGAATTTGTGCCGTTAATGGTGGGTGGGAGAGTGACATAGTCGTACTGGGCACATCGTCACTATCTCGACAGTGTGTCCTTGGTAGATGCATCCGCGTCATACTTCCAAGATAAAAAAGGTGCGTCCGAAGCAACCACGTCCGCACAACATCTTGAGGTCTTCCCCGAGTACGCAATTTTCGAATCGGGTGACAAAAAAAGCAAATTTTTAGCATTCCATATCTTGAACCTTGTTGCTATACAGAAATTCTGTTAGTCTAATATTTACTGCCTTTGAAACTAGAATTGAAACGTATCCCATAAAACAATTAACTAAAAACATTATTAAAAAAATTTTGTTCATTAGTTTTGATTAACATTCTGCAACGGTTATCCCCTTATCTAATGTCCTCCGAGCCCCATAAACACACAGTGAGGGAATCATTTAAGTAACTCGTGCCGTTTTTTTTTTTTTTAATTTCGTTCGAATCAAAATAGACAGCTTTGTATACATGTATATAAAAATATTGAATGCATGTCCATCCCACTATAGAGGTCCACCTTTTCCTTAGGTAAAACTGGATCAAACTGGAGAAGGCCAGTTTTACATAAACCCCCAGCATGGTATGTACCAAGGGCCGCCAGAAATGATTGCTCACCTCAGAACACTCTGTGCGGCTTGAAGAAAGCGGCCTGCGGTCTTTGACGGTGGGTCTACCCGCTTGGTGCAGCTGGGACCTGCAAGAAAGTTAACGCAGCTTGCCATATACCAGAGAGTAACAAAGACAAGACCAGTATTACATAAACCCCCAGCAGGCATGCACCAAAGACCGCCAGAAATGATTGCTCACCTCACTGAACACTTTGTGCGGCTTGAAGACAGCGGCTTGCGGTCTGACGGTGGGTCAACCCGCTTGGTGTAGATGGGAACTGCGAAAAAGTTAATGCAGCTTGCCATATACCAGAAAATAACAAAGACAAGGTCAGTATTACATAAACCCCCAGCATGGCATGCACCAAAGACAGCCAGAAATTATTGCTCACCTCATAGAACACTTTGTGCGGCTTGAAGACAGCAGCTTGCGGTCTGAAGGTGGGTCAACCCGTTTGGTGTAGATGGAAACTGCGAGAAAGTTAATGCAGCTTGCCTTGTACCAGAAAGTAACAAAGACAAGGCTAGTATTACATAAACCCCCAGCATGGCATGCACCAAAGACAGCCAGAAATGATTGCTCACCTCATAGAACACTTTGTGCGGCTTGAAGACAGCGGCTTGCGGTCTGACGGTGGGTCAACCCGCTTGGTGTAGATGGGAACTGCGAGAAAGTTAATGCAGCTTGCCATATACCAGAAAATAACAAAGACAAGGTCAGTATTACATAAACCCCCAGAAGGGCATGTACCAAGGACCACCAGAAATCATTGCTCACCTCAGAGAGCACTCCACGCGGCTTGAAGAGAGCGGCTTGCAATTTTTGTTGCTGGGACCTGCAATATATTTAATACAGCCTGGCGTATACCACAAAGACAAAGCCAGTAATACATAAGCCTACAGCACATGTCCCAAGGACCACTACAAATGCAGGCTCACCTCATGGAACATTCCATGTGGCTTAAAGAGAACGGCTTGCAATCTGTAATGGTGCGTGCACCTGTTTGGCGCAGCTGGGACCTGCAATAAACTTAGTACAGCTTGCCATATACCACAATGTAACAAAGACAAGGCCAGTAATACATAAGCTTAAAGCACGACATGTCCCAAGGATTGCTAGAAATGCTTGCTCACCTCATAAAGCACCCCATGCGACTTGAAGAGAGCGGCTTGCAACCTGAGGGTGAGTGCACCTGCTTGGTGCAACTGGAACCTGCAATAAATTTAATACAGCTTGCCTTATACCCACAAAGTTACAAAGACAAGACCAATACTACATAAGCCTCCAGCATGAAATATCCCAAGGACCACTAGGAACACTTGCTGAACTCATAGAGCTCTCCATGCGGCTTGAAGAGAGCGGCTGGCAATCTTTGGATAGTACCTACGGGTTCATTTCCCTTCCTTGATGAGCCTGAGCACTTTCGAATAAATGCCGCTCTTTGCGGTATGGCATGGTGCACACCTGGTACCTCTTTTGAGGTTTATCTGGCCAAAGTACCTATAACAAACATATAACAATTGGGTCACACACTGCAGTAGCCAGCAATACCACAGCAATGACAAACGTTAGAGAAGAGAATAAACATAAAATTATGTTTACTAACCAAAATATGTTAATTACCTTCTTAAGTATTGGTATAATGGGCTATGCTGCGATTGCAATTCTAAACGGAGACATTGTTAAAGCCCAACCTAAATGAAACAATTTTGTGAAAAAGCAGCAAGTTTTGAGTAATTCATGTTTTTCGGAAATCGCCGGTTAGAGTTTTGGGGTTACATTACTCTCTTTAAAATTGCAATTGCGAAGAGGCCCATTAAACCGCTAAATAATAATAATAATAATATTCATAATAATAATATAATACATTTATTGTATCTAGCGCACATCAGTTAGCATGACGGGCACATCACAGCCAACATGAGGCTTGTGGGATATGCCACCCTGAAATTAACAGTCGAACATAGCTATACTTTGAGCCCGAGTGCAAAGTGAAACAACTATATGCAGACATCATTAGGATGTCACAGGTGCCATGTGACACAGTTAGATGCAGACACACACCATGCACATGCACACCAACATACGCAAATGCAACGTTAGGTTTGAAAATAGCCACTGTAAAAAAGAGGAAACAATTATAACCTCGTTAAAAAAAATCATGCACTAATGATAATAAACGTAACTATACTAAACAAATAACGCAACTATACTAAACACAAATTCATTAAACCAAGTCCAAAGGGGAAGTGTCACGGCCGGGGTGTCTGAAGCTGCACAAGTGTAATCTACAGTGAAATAAGAAAAGAAAAGTAAAAAATATATGTAATTAAACAGTGACTTTACGATTTTCGGTTAATTAGTAAACATATTTTGACGTTTATCCGCCTGTTTAATGTCCGCCGAGCCCTACTATTATACAGTGAGGATGGCATCCACATATATATCACCTTCATTTTCCTCTACAGTCCGTTAAAGATTACAAAAAAAAATTTGATATATCACAAGAATCTTTTGACGTCGTTTCAGCTGTCTAATGACTCAGGTGTGCAAATGAATGAACAGTACTCATCAATGAGAAATAAAACAAGAAAGCGCAGAAAAATAAATAAAATATAAACTTCTGCGAAGCCGATCAGCCGTTGGGTATGCTGAGCCAATTATTACGATTTTGCGAAATGTGCACCCCTAAACAGACAGTGCGGTGGAAGCTGCATGTTCGTTTGACCAGTCAACTGTTGATTCTGCACAACGTGGTCACCGCCTCTCGCATATTCACGCGGGGAGAGCGAGGTCAAGCGATAAGAGGCTTTAATTATAGTTGGCGAACAAGTAGCTTGCACCGCACTGTCAGCGTAGGCGTGAACGGAATATAGGACATGCAAAAACCTAAAATATATGTACCGTATTTTCCGGGCTATAGTCCGTACCCGGTGTATAGTCCGCAGGGGCAAATTGGGGGTCCAAAGTAAAAGCTCTTGCTTAGGTACTTAGACAGTCCGCACCCGGTGCATAGTCCGCGTGCCGTGCATAGTCGGCACCTGGTGCTTAGTCGACACGAAAATCTTCTTATAGACGGCACACCTTGACACATGTCTGCTTTCTTAGCACACAAAGAAGCCTACAATCAGGCACGTAGCCAAAATTTTGTTTCGGGGAAGGGGGGGGGGGGGGGGGGGGGGGGGGGCATGGGCCTCCCCCTGGTTACGTGCCTGCCTATAATATACATAAATCATCATTAACATACTCTTTCACTCACAAAATCCGTCACATCTCCTCATAATGAACGATCTTGAAAAACAAAATTCGTGTATAGTCCGCACGCGTAGAGAGTCCGCACAGCCTAAACTTTCAGCTTTTAAACATGTATAGACCTTGGACTATAGCCCGGAAAATACGATATAAAAAATAAGCACACTGTTAAATATAAATTCAGAGCCAGCAGCGAGCTGCAGAGTGGATGTTTACAACAATTAACCCTCCAAACTGCTTGAGAAATTTCCCGTCAAATTACGAGGGCGGTCAATAATTTTGTGTACGTCTTAGAGGCTCGTGAATCGAGTGCACTGGAAACTTCCGTTTTCGAAGCCGCTAAAACGTCGTTCAATGACATTGCATCGTTACAAAGACGTTAGCCGCTCGCTTATGTTGTCTGGCTGCATGAATGTTGTTGCAAAAACAAACACAGGAACTAATTAGCTTCCATAAAAGCTCGTACTCGCGAGTTCTCCTAAGAAATGAGGCGCAGGGCTCTGAGTAAAGGCGCCGCCGCTGCAGCACGGATAAATAAACACGTGCATATTATAACGGAAACATAACGTGCTGAAAAAGAAACACCAAAAGCACGATGTGTCGGTGGACGCCCGTGTTCTCAGACCGCAGATTTCGAACACGCTCGAGCGCTTTCCGTCTTCAACCGAAAGCACTCGAACCGCGAACATGGAGAAACATTCGATTACAATACGTAAGCAAGACATTGCAAGGATAAAGTCACATTGCATACCTTGAAGTGGGCGATTTAGTCGTCGATGAGCTGATGAGGCCCTGATGCATCACAGAACACTACACTGACCACGATGTCAACAGCCACCGAGGCGAGTTCGACGAGCGCCCGAAGTGCGATAGCATGGCGATAGCTGCTGCAACCTCTGTTTGCGCCTGCGCGGCACGGGCGCACGACTCGGAGCAAAACCGCAAAACAACAGAGATGGGTGTTGCAACAACGGCAACAACGCACCAACACCGCCATTCTGCGAGAGAGGAGGGCCGCGAAAGAGCTGCAGGGCTGCGCGCTGCGCGGCGGGGCATTCAACTCCTCGCCATCTGCGCATGCTTGCACTCCTGGGATTTCGGCTTTTCTGGAAGGCTCGGCTCTCGCGCCAAATAAATAATGAGGGCATCCTCGTATTTTGAAATGATGAGCGTGCCCGTCTTTTTTGACGAGGGAAAGACACGTCAAATTGACGTAAATTTTTTACAGTGTACGTACGTAGATTGGAGCGATCACGTGGTGTGACGCTGACAGGTCCAACGAGCGTGCAGTTTATTCTGCACTGTCAGCTTCGGGGCGAAGCGAGTGCAGTGTGATGAACCACGTCTGGCCATATGCGCCTAAACATGCAATGCAGCCCTTCATCGGTCCCCAAATATGACCTGGAGCATACAATGTTTTCGGCCTTACGTGCGCCCGCTTATCCACCATCTGACTCTCGTTGAGCCCCTACTTTGGCTTTCCGAGTATACACTACTGCTGCACGATTCCAGACCATTTGCTCAGATTTATCTGCGACATAATTAGACGCACTACAGCCCGCTCCCAAGCTGATGATTTTCGCCGTTCTCCATGTTTGCTCCGCTTTCGGCGTCGTCGCCTCGGTGGCTCCGAGGGATTCTTCTTCCGACTGCCGAGGCGAGCGGACGGGAATCATGAGCTCCCGCGGAGCGTTATCAACGGCTACTGATAGCCGCGGTGCTACATCAGACTCTCGTGAACAAGGTTACCGAATCATCTTGCCCCAGCTTCCAATGGGAGTTAACGTACTTAATTCTGTGTTTCTACACTGTGATATTTCTGGGCGGCCGTACCGCATCGAAGACTTCAGGAACAGCCTGGAAACCGTCGGAGTTCTCAAGGAAGTTGCGGCATGCGGTTCGTACCAGATGAACCACGTTTGGATGGTTACCCTGCATTCCCTAGCCGCCAAGCACAAGCTGGCAAGTGCGAAGGAACTTCTCGTGAAAGGAAAGCGCTGCCTCATAATTGATCCTGACAAGACCGAGGTACGTCTGAGACTCCACTGGGTCCCCTACCACGTGACCGATGACAACGTGAAAACAGCGCTCGAGCCCTACGGGAGAGTCGAGGAAGTCACGAGAGAAAAGTGGCACGTGAAAGGGTTTGAAGGCGTCCAGTCGACGACAAGGTTGGCACGCCTGACTCTTAAGGAAGGCAAAACCATAGAGAGCCTCCCGCATCAGATTCGTCTGGCAGGGGGTATGGTGCTCGTTGTCGCCCCCGGTCGACCCCCGCTGTGTTTGCGATGTCGCAGGACTGGGCACATCCGAAAGGAGTGCCGGGTCCCACGTTGCGACAGTTGCAGACGTTTTGGGCACACCCAGGAAGACT